AAAAAAAAAAAAAAAAAAAAAAAAAAAAAAAAAAAAAAAGAAAAGCCAGCATTGAAGCTGGGATTCCCATGAAGATGGCCCGGAGGGGCTGCTGGGAGGACAACAGACAGCAGTAGCCAGGAAGCAGGCAGCAGGAGGGAAGGAGGCCAAGCACGGGTGACAGGCAAGCCCCACAGAGGCACTGGCTCCAGGAGCTCTGGGACAGGGGAGGTTGTCCCCATCAAGAAAAATATCTATCATGTCCCTGTACCCAGTGGTTTTTTTTTTTTTGGCGCCAGGGTGTAGGCAGCCATGTAAATTCCTAGGAGTCAGAACTCCAAAAGGGGAAGGCGGCAAGCAGAGTGGGGAGGGTTCCAGCAGCCGGGGGTGGCCCTCCGGTCAAGGCAGGCAGGCATGGCCATGCTGAGCGACCATGCAGGAGGGACCCATGCAGGGATGCAGGCAGAACAGACCATGCCCGCCACAAGGGCGGGAGCAGAGTGGGCCAGCAGCAGCCTGGAGGGCACACCTGTGCGGGGGCCTTAGGGCAGTGCTAGGTGAGCCCCCACCAAGGGAAACTGTGTCGTGTGGGAGAAGTGGGTACGCCAGAGGGAGCTGTGGTGTCTCACAGGCTTAAGAGACCTCCAAAGGCTGAGGGTCCCAGGACACAGCCACAGCAGGGGGAACCAGACAGGGCCAGAAAGGGGGGGACCAGAGCAAGCTTCCGTACAGAGGGTTTTGTGTGGCAGACTAAGGAACACCGATTTTATTCTCTAGGTTTGAGACTAAGAGTTACTTGGTTTATGGTAATATAATTGTAAAGTACTGAACATCATATACTAAGATAGTTTGTAACCACCAACCAGGACCCGTGACTAGGAACAGATTAAGCCTGACAGTAGCCAGCTCCCTAGAGAAGCTCCTTGAGCTGGGTGTGGTGGCTCACGCCTATAATCTCAGCACTTTGGGAGGCTGAGGCAGGCAGACCATGAGGTCAGGAGTTCCAGGACCAGCCTGGCCAACACAGTGAAACCCTGTCTCTGCTAAAAATACAAAAATTAGCTGGATGTGTGGCATACACCTGTAGTCCCAGCTACTCGGGAGGCTGAGGCATGAGAATCGCTTGAACCCAGGAGGCGGAGGTTGCGGTGAGCCAAGACGGCACCACTGCACTCCAGCCTGGGTGACAGAGCGAGACTCTGTCTCAAAAAAAGAAAACAAAAAAAAGAAACGAAACGCACATGAACAGAATGGATCTAGAAAGCCATGTGAATTCTCCATCTCAGGAGGTAAACTAGTAAATTCCAGTCAAGAACGACGAACCTGACCTGGGATCCCTCATATTAAAGAACATTTATAAAACTCAAAACTCAGGCCGCTCGCAGTTTAGCACAGGGACAATGCAGCCTTAGGTCACAACTTTTCTACTTTGTATATCAACTATTGAGACTAATTTTCAGGTAGAAAACTGACTCTTCCCAAGGAAAAACCAGGCTTCTCGGATGAAGGAACTGAAGTGGGCTCTGTCCTTACCTTCTCTTTCTTCTTCCCAGGATGAGAGTCACAGTCTCTGTCAATGTGATCGCTAACCACCACGTCTGGTATCTGGCCCTTTTTCACTGGGATGGGAGTATTACAGAGTGGGCATACCGGGACCTGAACATCCTAAAAACAACAAAGGTAAGATGGCATCTGAGACTCATACAACCTACACTCACAAAAGTTTTAAACGGGTACTCCTGCGCGGCACACACTTAAACACAGAGTACAAAAACTGGTCTCCCGAGCCCTCTGACAACAAAGCATCGTTGGGTCATGGATTAGTGGCAGCCATCTCTAGAATGTGGGCATCAGCTGCCCTAAGGAGTCTAGTGAAATTTCAACGAATGGACTTCAGCTGCCTGCAGAAACCAACTGGGGCCATCTCAGGCTGGCATCGCCCAGGTGAGAGCAGAGCCTGCCCAGACGCCTCCACAGGGAGGAGATGGAGGGAAACACAGACCACAAAGACCCTCCAGCTCCCCTCAATCACCAACGGCCTGATCCCCTCTGCGGTTTCCCGGCAGCTTCTATGTACCTGGAAAGTTGTTTGTGCCCAGATGAGGCCACGTGTAACCAGGGCGAGCTCCCAGGCACTAACAACCGTCACTGGCAGGCAAAGGTTGCAGGTGCTCTGAGGGGTGGACCGCCCAGCAGCTGAAGGCCCAGCAAGGCTAAAAACCTGAGCTGGGGGCTCTGGAGGGGAGGACCGCCCAGCAGCTAAGGCCCAGCAAGGCTAAAAACCTGAGCCAGGACAGGAGTTGATGGAAAGGCCAATGAGAAAACTGAGGTGGCAACCGACATCAAACGGGTGACAGGTGATCATGGAATTATGGGCACACCTTAATTATCTGCAGCCCGAGCTGGGAGAGTCACAGGTGGTGGTGCTCCCTCATTTGGTCAAATGAAGAAATAAAGTATTAGTAAACGGTCTCCAGCCAGACCCCGCCCATGCCGGGGCAGGAAGGGGCAGTGGGAAGACACGCTGGGCAGTCTGGCTTAGTCATCCGTGCCTAGTAAACGCAGGGAATGTGAGTCACTCTCCCTACCCTCGGTGATGACCTAAAAATGGCTGGAGGGTCAGACCCTGGCCAACACTGGTCAGAGCACAGAATGCTGGGCCACCCACATTACCACCGCCACCAGGGTCAAGCGGCAGAGTTCACCAAAACGACCTGTGACCTAACCAGAGACAAAGCGAACATGGGCTGGGAACCATCTGAAAAGTCAACAACAGAAGTCTCAAACCTCTGGACTCGGGGGCAAGCTCATGTCCTTAGAGTCCTCTTTCAGTTTCTACTGTGTACTCTGGCAGTCACCAAAATACGACGTCAAGGCTGCAGTTATTCAAATAAATAAGCATATTTACTGCCTTCCTGATTGGCTTCCAAGTCAACTATTAAAACCTCTCTTGCATCCCGTGAAGACACAGCTATGGTGTAACGGATCAAAGGAACCATGTATTTGAACATCCTTTTTTTTTTTTTTTGAGATGGAGTCTTGCTCTGTCGCCCAGGCTGGAGTGCAGTGGTTGGATCTCAGCTCACTGCAAGCTCCGCCTCCTGGGTTCACACTATTCTCCTGCCTCAGCCTCCCGAGTAGCTGGGACTACAGGCGCCCGCCACCATACCCGGCTAGTTTTTTGAATTTTTTTAGTAGAAGCGGGGTTTCACCGTGTTAGCCAGGATGGTCTCGATCTCCTGACCTCGTGATCCGCCCGTCTCGGCCTCCCAACGTGCTGGGATTACAGGCGTGAGCCACCGCGCCCAGCCCTTGAACATCTTAAGTAAGCCTGGAACACAAGGTTACAACTAAGTGACTCCATGAGTCCCTGACAATAAGATCTCAGTTGCCTGAGAGTCATCCAACAGAAAGACCTGTGAGGGCAGAAATGTTCATCTGTACTGCCTAACAGCGGGCACGTGAAACAAGGCTAGTGGGATTGAGAAACCGCATTTTAAAATTTAAGTTTCACTGAGTTAGCCACGCGTGGCTAGTCCTACCATACCAGCAAGACGGTGCAGTTTCAGACAGTGAAGATGAGAATCTTTTGAATCAAGAATGAATTACCTTCTGGAATGCAAACGGACACTTATGTGCAGCATATGTAAAATGATCTTTACAGAAATCTTGTTTACACGCATCACATTTTACTGGAAGAAAATCTAAAACACAAAAAACAGGGAAGTGTTTTAAAGACTGGAACAAAATAATTCTAGAAGGGACTATCAAAGTGTTTACCTACACTGAGTGCTTCAGGCTTATAAGATGGATAGGTCCTCAAGGCCCACACATGCGAAAACAATCCCAGGGTCAGGCTGTCTTCTAGAGAGAGACCCCATGGCCTGAGGCATTGCAAGTACTCAAGCAGCACACTGGATCCACTCAGCCCTGCCAGCCTGCACCCCTGCACCCTGCCTGTGGTGGATGCTAAGTGTCCAACAGAACCCGCACCAGCGCAGTTCCCAATACTGAAAAGCCAGGAAGGCCAAGACACAATTATCAGCTAATTAACATAACAGTCAGCTTCCCCCCAACAAAATACCATTTTCCATTAAGTCTCTTAAAAAGTACTTACCTAGCTGCTTGCAAGTTTTTTCTGAGCAATGCTTCCCCAAATCAGGAAACTCCATTATGAGAACAGTGCTCAAAACGCTGAGGGCACAGTTAAGTATCACCTACGAGAATTAGAATAGTTAGGAGGAAAGCTGGACTGCCCTTCAGTCACCAGGATTTACAATTTATAGCTAATGAAAGTCAACAAACGCGCTGTGTGGGGAGCGTTCAATGGAGTTTGAGTACAAATACCAGGTGTCGGCCATTCGTAATTAATCCCATTAAGAGACACGGACTCCTTTCTAGCCTTTTAATTCCTAGTCTATGAAGCACTCCTTGAACTCGGGTTTCTATTTCAACTCACACTGAGAGGGGCGAGAGCCAATTCACACAGCTGCCAGTGATGATTACGATTCTGGTGAATTTTAAGTCACAATTTTATCCATGGAATATACTTGTTGACATAAACAAAACTCTGTTACTAGGTGCTAAATCACGTTAGCTGACTCCATTATCCAGAGGAGATTTAACTCTGTCCCTCGCCTCTCCAACTCCCTTAGGCACTGAGTCTGTGAACTTATTCCTCGATGACATCAACCTGGAGTTATCAGGGAGAAGCTCAAGCTGTTAAGTCACCATGGAAAACAGGCAAACAGCTGGTGAAACTGCTGCACTGAAGAGAGAATCAAGGGGTTCACGAGGTCCCCTCTATGATCTAGTACCCAATAGCCCTCCTGGGGCCTTTTCCTGGGGTTCACGAGGTTCCCGTCATCTAGTACCCACGACTAGCCCTCCCGGGGCCTTTTCCTGACCTTCCCATCAGCTCTCTCCACCCTCCTGGAGGCCTCCTAGGCTGTCCCCTGTAACTGGAACACTCTCGCCCACAGCAAACGTCTACACATCCCCTCCTGCCTCGGTTTAAAGCCACTCCAAGCCTCCCCAGTTCCCTCTAAGTTACACACCCGCTACTCAAGGTGCCCATTAGTTCTTTCCCTGCCCATATTCGCCCACAGTTTCCAATTACGGATCAGCTGCTTTATTATTAGCTCCCCGTGCCCGACACACAGCAAGCGTTCCAAAATTGTTCTGTTCAAGGAATTCACAAGGATTTGATGTGAATCCCCAAATGATTTTGTTCTGGACTCACAACAGCCGTCCGAAGAAGCCAACACCCTACTCTGGCGGGCCGGGCATGTAGCAAGAAAACAGACACTTCTACGTGGCTGTCGCTCGGCTGGCGAGTTAACGATCCCGTCCGACTCGGTACTACGGCCCCAATGGCAGGCCCGGCCCCCAGCAGACAGGCCGGACCCCCAACCGCCAGACCCCCGGCAGGCCCGGCCCCCAACAGACAGCCAGACCCTCAGCAAGCCCGGTTCCCAGCAAACAGCCGGACTCTCAACAGACAGGCCGAACCCCCGAACAGCCTGACCTCCCCTGCCAGGCCCGACCCCCGGCAGACCTTGGCCCCGGGGGACAGCGTAATCCCGGCCCCGTACCTAGCTCTCGTGCGGGACCCAGGCAGCTGCGGTAACAGATGGAGGAGACAGAAACGCAGATGTCCTCCTTCGTAGTCGGCTCCGGGTAGCAAAGCAGAAAGAACCTCGACACTGGAACCGAGACGCTGTGGGACGCACACCTACGCCCACAGCAAAGCGC